GGACCTCGCGGCACTTCAACCTCGAGCTCTGAGCTCCTAAATAAGTCGTTCGACGAATTATATAATAGGTACTCGACCTCGCGGCACTTCATCCTCTTACTTACTAAGTCGTCCACGAGTCAATCCATAGGTACTCGACCACGCAGCACTTCAAGGAGCTCGGGCCCGACTCCGCGCTCACGCCGTCCGTCCAGTTCACCTTCGAGCTCACGCCGCTCCGCGTGAGCAAGCGCGAGGAGCGCGGCGGCTCGCTGCTCGTCTTCCTCACGCGGAGCGCCGCCGTCATCGGCGGGCTCTTCACGGTGGCGGGCATCGTCGACTCGGCGTGGTACCACTCGTCGAGGCACCTGATCAAGATGAGGCAGGGCAAGGCCGCCTGACGCTAGGGACCGTCCAGAGAGTCGGACCGTGCGCAGGCGCTGTGCGCCCGCAGAGGGCACCCACGATGCGCGTCTTCATTTCCCTCGTACGTGTGACAATATCGTGCGTGGTGTGTGAGATGGAGATGGTTTGATTTTGTCCAGCGCGAGTTAAACGAAATGCCCTCGGTGCACGCGTTTGTACGATCTTTCTACGGCTACGTTTTACGACTTAACTGCTGGGGCCCAGTTGCTCTCTCTTTTTTTGTACGAAAACCATTAAATGAAAGTGTCCTCTCAACGACCAAAGCGTACTTTTCGGCGGTGGCGCCGGTGGGGCCGATGACGCTATGGCTGAGCACGAGGGGTCTCAGCACGAGACAGCACCCCTGCAGAAAAACGCACAAAGAAATAACCGGTAAAGGTGCTGTGCACGCCCACTGTGCCGTCCTCTCTGAATCCACACTCCCGGGCCAGTTTTACCCCCCCCCCCCCCTGGCCATTCGCGATCTCCCAACTCGGGCGGGAAAGCGCACGCCCTTTGAGAGTTCAGACGGTAGATGAGCGGTCTTCCGCCTATCCCAGCAGCCCCCGAGCGCAAACAACCCCCTAGACAAGCCCGGTACCCCGCCTCCTCCTCGGTCCCGAACCGCAAGTCGGGCGGGGTTCGTAAGGCCCCGGGTCCGGATGGAACTCGCGATCGCGCCCCCGGACGCCGATTCAGCCTCCCCCGGGGCCAGGTTCGAGCGCACCTCCCGCGCCCGAGTGCACTTATGCTACACAAACCCACAGCACCGTCAGCGTGTATTCTGGGCCGGATCGAGCAACTCTAGCACCCTGCCCACCCGCTCCGTGCGAAATGGACCGCCCAATCCGACCGAGAGAGAACCCCTGGGGGGGGGGGGCGCATTGTCGCCAATCCGCCT